TTTTTTTTTAATTCGAATATGCAGAGTAAAGGTTATATGTATATGACATATAAAGATGAAATTTGTTGTATAGTAATAAAAAGAAAAAAATTTCTATTATTTCAGTGTGTTAAATTTGAGAATCACGTAATCAATTCTGATTGTTTAAATTGTGTATGATCAATTCTGATTTGTCAAAAATATATGTGCAGTTTTTTTTTATGTATTAAACGCCAAAAATTTTTGAATAGATTTTAAGTTGAAATAACTTTTCAATTTTATAAGAAAAATAGACTTTATTCTAATAGTATTGTAGCTTAGGATAAAAGCAACAAATCTGAAGAAAGATTTTTTAAAAAAATTATTTGTTTTTGAGTCAATCATTTTTGTTGTATATGTAAATTGTGAATGTTTTTTGTTGTTCAGTAATACATTTAAAGTAATATAGAACGCAGAACATATTGATACAATATGATTATTTAGAATTAGAATCGTTGGTATTGTTGCTGAAGCATCAATTCTTTTGGTATCATGAATGGTTAAAACTTGATGTCACATTTTTTTTTTTTTTTACTATTATGTGTAAAATTTTTTTTAGATTTCTTGATTTGTCTGGGAAGAATTATTTAATTCTTCTGATCTTGATTGATTTTCAACATTATTGATATCAGTTAGTTCGGCGTTTTCTCTTGCGTTTTAATGAACGCGGATTATCTTTTTCGGGATTGTCTGGAATCGGTGGTGGTGTTTTAGAGGTATCGTTTAAGTCTTTGGTAGTATTATGAACGTAGAGAAGTTTAGATCTTATTGGGTTTGTTGAAGATGACTCAGTATTTATGTCAAGTTCTTTTTTTTTAGTGATGAAGTTAGTATTAATATAGGTGATGTCCTTGGGCGTAGACATAGAATTCATTATCTATTATTTCCATTTGCCCAACCGCAAAGATAATAGATTCTTGTGGACGGATGGTAGGCTTTAAGTATTTGAATCGTGAATTATTGTGTGGAAAGGTTATCTTGACTGGGTAGTTGTAAAGTTTGCCGACATAATCAGATATGAGCGTTTCAATGACAGAACTTTCAGTGTCTTTGATTTCAATTGGCATTTTTTGTGGTACTCCTACTAAAGAAATGCTTAGGGGACATTTGTTTGAGTTTGGAGCTCTGTCGCTGATTGTTACGTGAGTTGAGGTGGAAACTGTCATCTAAATATTAATTTAATTGTTAATGATAATTTTAATCATGTAGGTTTGCATAAAGCATTTAAATACTTTTGGTATTCCATCGTGGGACCCAGGTACAATCTTTCCTCCGACAGAGTAATATTGATTTCTTTTAAAGATTGCTTGCGATTCAGGATCTCGATCTTTATAATTGATTGGTACAAATAATGCCAGTTCGATTTCATTATCTTCACGTCCTACTGGGTATGTTCCAATAGCCCATGTAGAATATAGTTTGCATCTTTATTAGTTCGTTTGATACGTTTAATTTTGATAATTGTGTTTGCGTAACAAGGCATGGTGTTTTTTGTTCTATGTAAAATCTGAAAGTTTATATTTGTTGTTGTATGATATATACTTAATGTTTGATTGGTAGAATAATTATTTACTAAGTAGTTTACGGTAAGATATATTCTTGATTCATAGTTATGCTAAATTAGGAATAGAGGAACATAATTTCCGGCTTGGTTACGTTAATGAAGTACTGTTTTTCGATTAATCTATTCTAAATATGGAGATGCAGATTTGAATAACCATATTTATAGTTGATGAATCTAGTGAGTAGATTCCTGATTTCATAGATATCAAATGACTACATAAATCAGGAAAAATTACTTGGTATGAGTATTAAATCTTGGTTTGCGTTAGTTTTTAGTTTGAATTGGACCAAGTTAAGGTTCAAAATAGTATTATCTCATGATACTGTATGATACGCAGGGTTGTCATTGGACAATGTCCAAGTAAATTTAATTGAACTTTTGGATATTTGGACATTTGAACCATTAGATATTGGACAATGTCGAACATATCGATATGTCCAATTTATTAATTGGACGTATGCCCAATTGTCAATAATTTTATTGGATAGTACCGTATAGCGCTCTATACAGTACCCGGTGTGACACAATTTTTTACATAGTGAAAAATTAACAATCACGTGTATTGCACAATTGTTTATATCACATGTCATATATAAATAATATTTTAAAAATTGATCTATATTATTTGTCACACAGG